GGGGTGACAGTGTGAAGAGCAGGCTGTGAAGCTGAAGGTCGTTCAGAGTGGAGCTGAGCCGAGTCACTCTGTGGAGGGACAAGCGAGGACATGTGCTAGTCCTATTGTTGCTCCTGCTACTGATACCACTGTTACTGTTCTTATTAATACTTACAGTGGCTCCTTCCCATTGAGCATTTCCTGTGTGTTGGGCTTTTGTGGTGGAGAAGATTGCAGGGGGTAGTAGAATAGAGTTGACCGTCTGTATCCAGGGGATCTGTCAATATCTGGAGATGCATTGCAGTTGAAAAAAACATTTGAGAAATATGCATCTTGTACTGAAGATGTACAGACTTCCTTCTTTGTCATTATTCCCTAAATAATACAGTCTAACAACTATTTGTGTAGCACTTATGTTATATAGGGTATTATAAGTAATGATTTAAAGTATAGGAGAGGATATGCTTGGGTTATATATGCAAATACAGTGCTATTTTATACAAGGGACTTGAGGATCTGCAGGGGCTCCTGAAACCAGTCTTGTATGAATAATGATGGATGGCTATATACTGGCTAAGGCTAAAAATTCTACAACCAGACTGCTTGGATATTTTTACTTTTTTTGTTTGTTAGACTTTTTTCATGTTAATGTGATATCAATACAAAGAAAACAGATTCAATGTAGTTCATATATAGAATTTTAAGAGTATCATGATATTCCTTCTCTCTCTTTCTTAACTTTTGATATAACATTATCTGGATTAAAATTATTTATGCATTTAATTACTAGAGGGAGAGCAAGAACACATGTACTAGCTATCTCCCATTTACTGGTTCTCTCCCCAAATGCCCACAAATAGCCAGGGCTAGACTGGGGCCAAAACCAAGACCTGAGAACACAATCCAGTTCTCCCACACTAATGGCAGGAACCCAAGCGCTTAAGCCATTCCCACTGCTTCCCAGGGGCTGCACTTGCATTGGCAGGAAGCTGGAGTCAGGAGCCAGAGCTGGGAACTGAATGCAGGTACTCTGCAGTGAGACGTGGGCATCTTAATTGCTACACTAAACCGCGACTCCAGGGTGCTTGGATATGAATCCTGGCTGTGTCACGGAATGGGTTGCGGATCCCACAGGTCATCTAACCTCTCTGTGCCTCCATTTCTTATCTCTAAAATAGAGCTAATCAAAACGGTACATTTCTTGGGAGGAATGGTTTGAATTAATCGTTTACAAAATGCTTAGAGTACTTCCTGGCACGTTAGAAGTATGCTGTGAGTGTTTGTTATGTAACAACATATTTTCACATATTTTCTCTTTGCCAAAATGGAGGGAAGAGGTTTAGTGACTTACTCTAGGCCACAGGGCTGGTTAAGCAGCCAAGTCAAATGTAGAGGACAGATCTGACAGACTCCGAGTCCTTGCTTGCAACCAGAGCGCTTACTTGCCTCCTTGGTTGTGGAGCTGGAGACTTGGCCTTCTGGGGGGATGCAGTGGAGGCAGAGGCTGGTGGGCATTGTGAGTCCAGGTGGGTAGTCAGCACCTGGGGGCTGGGATGTTGGCAGAGGTGCTGCTTGGGTACACAGCTGGCTCCAGTCCCTTCATCCCCTTGGCCCAATTCCTTGTTCCCTGCTGTGGGACAGCAGCCCTGGCTTCCTGGCCCATTTTAGGGAGAAGTCAAGTCTCTTAGGGTCCTGAAGGATGTGGTTACAGCCAGGGAACTGAGCCTTCCTGGAACTTCACCTCCCTTGCTTATTTTCCAGATTCCCTCAGTGACTTCAGTTAAGCCTTTTGTACCCCAGTTTCCTCATCACTCACATGAGGATGGTGCTTTCCCTGCCTGCTTCATAGGGCTTTTGAGAAACAGAGTAGATCATGAATGTGAAAAGATTTGAAAGACCTAGAACAGTACCCAAATTGAAGAGAGCAGAGTGACCCCAGACCTTAGTACTGTAAGGCTAGTATGGGCCTCCTAGACCTCCATAGCCCCTTTGTGCTGGTGGTTCCTTGTGTCAGATCCCATGACCTTTTCCGACTGTTCCACCATGGGCTGCAGAGATGTTTGGAACCTCATATCCTTCTCTGGGTTTTACATTTCTCTTAGCATAAAGTAATAGTTTAGCATCATCTGAGTCCCTAGGAAATTTTCCTTTTTTAATTTGAAAGATGTGGGGTGGGGGGAGAGGAGAGAGATAAGTCTTCCATCCACTGGTTCACTCCCCAAATGGCTACAACAGCCAGGGTTTGGCCAGGCCAAAGCCAGAAGCCAGGAGCTTCTTCTGGGTCTCCCACATGGGTGCAGGGAGCCAAGGACTTTAGCCATCTTCCGCTGCTTTCCCAGGCGCATTAGCAGGGAGCTGGATCAGAAGTGGAGCAGCTGGATCTTGAACCAGCACCCATATGGGATGCCAGTGTCACAGTCGGAGGCTTGTGCCATGCTGGCCTCAGATTTTTGTTTTTAATTTTTTAAAAGGTTTTATTTGTTTACTTGAAAGAGTTGCAGAGAGGCAGAGAGAGAGATCCTCCATCTACTGGTTCACTCACCAGATGGCCACAACTTCCGGAGCTGTGCCGATCCGAATCCAGGAGCCAGGAGCTTCCTCCAGGTCTTCCACGTGGGTGCAGGGGCCCAAGGACTTGGGCCATCCTTCACTGCTTTCCTAGGCCATAGCAGAGAGCCGGGACTCGAACTGGTGCCCACAGGGGATGCCAGCACCATGGGCGGAAGCTTTACCTGCTAAGCCACAGCACCAGCCCCAAATTTTTGTTTTTAAGAACCAGGTTCTGGGGCTGCCACTGTTGCGTAACCGGTAAAACCGCCACCTGTGATGCCAGCATCCAATATGGGCACCGCTTCAAGTCCCGGCTGGAGGATGGCTCAAGTCCTTGGCTCCCTGCACCCATGTGGGAGACCCAGAAGAAGCTCCTGGCTCCTGGCTTTGGATCGGCACAGCTCAGGCCATCTGGGGGAGTGAACCAGCAGGTGAAAGATCTCTCTCTTTGTCTCTCCTTCTCTCTCTAACTCTGCCTTTCAAATAAATGAATAAATCTTTACAAGAAAAAGAACCAGGGTCTGTGTCTGTGTGCAGGGTTGTCCTAGCTCCTATTCTCAGTGCTCTGCTGCCTTTTCACTTCAACCCTTGGCATCAGGCACACTTGGGCTCTGGGGCCTGGGGAGCCTGTGACTGCCTGTTCTCATTAGCACAGTCTTGGCTTTGTGTTTGCCCTGCAGGGAACAGTGAGCAGCTGACCCTTCCCCTGGGTATCCTTGTCTCTCTGGGTTTCCCTTGGTGAGTGTGCGTGTGCATGGGGGGGGGGTGGAGGGAGAGAGAGAGAGGGAGAGAGATTGAGAGAGATTGTATAAGCAAAGGCTAGGCCTCTTGCCATCTGCTAAAGTTCTTTTTTCCCCAGGGGTGAGTTAACTACCCAGCTATTTTGATTTTCTGCGCACTGCTAACCTTCACAGCAGGGTCCCCATGGCCAGATTAAAACCGTGTTCCTCTTTGGTAATCCAGAGCTTCCATTTTGAGAGAGACATAAACAGGAGTGAGTGGGTAGGCATACTGGATGTAGGGAGTTTGGGACAAGCTGTGCTAGAATTGACCTAATTGTTTGGTCTTCACTCAAAGTTAGGGTCAGCGCTGGACTGACTCCCAGATTTCCAATGGATAAACTCAGTTCTTAGATCTAGAGCCTACCAGACTGAGCAATCAGGTTTTTTTTTCCAGCTGGGAAATGGGGACAATAAATTCTACTCCATACGAATTTCATTTCAAATGAGCAGTAAACTTTTAAATAGTCCACCATCTACTTGCAAGGAGCATAAAGTACCATAAACTTGTGTTTCTTCAAGTATATTCTGCAGAACATTTCACTCAGGGCAGGCATTGTGGCACAATGGGTTGAACCACTGCTTGAGATGCCCACATCCCATATCCAAGAGCCAGTTTGAGTCTCAACTACTTTGTACCTCAGATCCAGCTTCCTGCGAATGCATTTGGGAGGCAGTGGATGATGACTCAAGTGCTTGGGCTCCTACCACCTGCGTGGGAGACCTGGTTGCATTTTTAAGCTGCTGGCTTTGGCCTGGCCTCATCCTGGCTGTTGTGAGCATTTAGGGAGTGAACCAGTGGATGTAAGATCTGTGTGTGTGTGTGTGTGTGTGTGTGTGTGTATGTCTGACACTCTCTCTTAGAAAAAGAAAAGAAAGAGCAGGAGGGAAGAAGGAAGGAAGGAAAGAAAGGAAAAGAAAACAAAGGAAAAGAAATCACTTTTTAAAATGTCATCACTCACTAAACAAATTTGGGAAGACTGGATAAACAATGCCAAGTAGATTTCTTTTCTGTGGGGATGACTCAAGCCCTTACTTAATATACCGATAGAACACAAGGTGAATCTCCAAGAAAATGTGTTGTAAGCAACATTTTAAAAAATGTTAACCAAATTCTCTTTGGTTTTAAATATTTTTATAAATGTATTTGAAAGAATAACAAAGAGGGAGAGAGGAGGAGAGAGGGGCAGAGTGAGAGAGAGAGAGAGAGAGAGAGAGAAAGATCAGCAGGTTTACTCTCACCAAATGACCTCAATAACCACGGTAGGCCAAAGCCAGGAGCCAGGAACTCCTTCTGGGTCTCCTATGTGGGTAGCAGGGTCCCAAGCACCTGGGCCATCTTCTGCCGCTTTCCTAGGCTCATCAGCAGGGACCTGGATCAGAAGCGGATCAGATTCAAACTGGTGTTCCCATGTGGGATGCTGGCCTCACAAGCAGCAGCTTAACCCTCTGCATCACAACGTGGGCCCGTAACCAAACTTTCTTAGCAGAGTGTTTTGCAAGTATCATCTCTACAAAATACACCCTGGAAGTGACCCATCTAGGTCAGAAGTGTATTCATTTTATTCTGTTCCCTCTCATAGTGAATAGAGGGCAATTGGTGAAATGTTGGGGGGTTGCTAAAATGTAGGTCCTGAAGACCAAGTTCAGACTCCTGCTCTGAAACACCTCTCTCCCTCCTCTCCCTCACAGCTCCCCTTTGAACTGGAGATCTACTACATTCAGCATGTTATGCTCTACGTGGTACCCATCTACCTGCTTTGGAAAGGAGGTAAGACCAGCAAACCTCATCTCGGTGCCTCCCCACACCTCACCGCTCCCTTCTGGTTGGGAGGCACAGCTTTTTGGGTGCCTACCGTGATCCTGAGCTGTGGCTTGGCTGGGTTTCTTCAGTGTGCTTGATGCGAAACACTGGGCCGTGAGAAAAGGGGCTTGGATGACGTCTGCAAAGAATCAGAGGGCTTTTCAGAATTAGCCTTTGTGAGTGAGCATGGTGCTGCCTCCACCTGTGTGGGGACTAGGCTTTGGGCTCCTGCGGGTGGCCTTGAGTTTGCATGGAGCACCCCCTACATGCCTGTCACTCCCTTGTGCCTTTCCCCTGCCATTGTGTGCAGTGTAGGGTTGAAGGAGCAAATGAATCACTCGGGCCCCTCAAGAGAAGGATCCTGTGCTCTTGCTCATTGTATCCACGCTCTGAGAGCTAAAGGAGATATTGAGAAGGCTAAGAAGTCCAGGGAATGCAGAATTATGGAATGGAAGAGGGAGGTGAAACAGCAGCATCCCTCATGTCAAATAATGATTGAAAGCCTTCCTTTGGTCAAGAGGGAGAGACCACCAACCAGTAGAGACAGTCTGGAAAGGAAGCTGATGTATTCGGATCCTCACAGTGACTCTTAAATTATCCCCTCCCTCTCCTGCGTTGTAGGCAAAAGGAAAGGGCACTGCCTAATAAGGCTGCTGGGCTTGTGTGAACGTGACCCCTTCTCAGAGTCCTTCCTTTCCTGAGGCCTCTCTGTCTTGGTTGCTGACACTGTTCTTGGAGACCCACCCTGTCCAGCGTCCCCCAGACAGCAAGGGTATCATTTCTGTCCTAGTATAAATGGCATGGGACTACATGAGTTTTTGAGCCCCCCGGTGAATGGTCTGGAACTTGTGCTGGGCTCTGCCGTCTCTTGGCTCCTGCTTGCATCCTCTAGCTCAGCCATGCTGGCAAATCCTAACGGCTTTCTGGTGTGAGATGACCGGCCGCCTGGGAACATGCTGGAGGATGGGCAGGGATGCTGTCTGTGAAGTCTGCTTACACCCGAGAGTCTTGCCTCCTGTGCCCTGCCTTCTCCTAAGTAGGCTGCTGCTTCTACCCTGTGCAGATACTTGGCGGCCTCTGCTGTGCTTTAAGAGAAGTTCTGAGTACCAATATCCAGGAGACTTGGACCATTTCTCGGGGCTGCTCGCGGTGGCCCAGCCAACAGCCTCCTAATAATGTGGAAGTGTCAGAGACATGCTTTTTCTGGGCAGACCCAAGCAGGCAGCTACACAAGGGGCCCAGGCCCCTACCACCCATTTTCCTTGGCTTCTCAGCCATGTGGTGGAACTTCTGGCCAAATCTGCATGGCTGGTGTTTAAACCTATTTGTACTCTGAGGTCACCATCAAAAGCTGCCAGGTAGCTTGGTTAGACTGGTTTGACGTGGAAAATACCAAACAGTCATCCCTCCTCCCTGCAAAAGAACAATCTGGAAAGCCACACCCTTAAGACTGATTCTGCTGAAGCCTCCCACTGGATGTATTGCTGTGCTGTTTGGGGGAACAGAGCTAAGGAAGTAGGGGTTCTGAGTCTTAATTCTAATTTATTTCACACTCAGAATGATTCTTTCCCTTCTCCTATCGTGCCTGCTTTGGAGAAGGGGCTATCATAGTAGCAACTGGAGTAATAACTATGGTTCGTGTCGGTCCTACTTTGTATTGTTTGCTGTGTGTGAGATACTGTGCTAGGCATGGGTGGTGTGTGTTCTCATCGCAAATAGCCTGTTGAAGAATCCACCTACAGGGGAGAAAACCGAGGTTGGGAAACTTAAGTACCTTGCCGCTAGTCATAAGTAATAGTGCTGGGAACCAAAGCCTGGCCTAGATCCCTGCCCAAACCAGTGTTCTTTCTCATACACCTCGTTCCCATGAAGGACAGCTGTCTGTCTCCCATCAGCATCGGGATGAGCGTCTGCCTCACCTCCTGCCCCAATTCAGCCCTTCCCTCGACACACACGAACATATTGGTTGAACACCTGCTGTTGTGCCAAGCATTCTTTGTAATCTGGAATCAGAGATGAACCAGAAAGACACAGTTCTTCCGCACGGAGTCCCTGTCTGTTGAGAAAGAAAGACAGTTGCATCGCAGTGTGGCACGTGCTGCAGAGGGCGCACGTGATTTAGGCAGCCTAGTTCACCTTCCCTTCTGCCCATTGCTGGGAAGATGATCACATCTTCTTAGAGCAGCTCCTGCTATTGGCCCTCTTCCCTAACTGATGAGGTGAGAAACAGCACTGTACAGAGAGATGCTATGCTCAGTTCTTGGTACTAACCCGCAGACACCCTAGCTCTGGGCCTGTGACTCCAGGTCTGGAGAGAGAGCCTCCACTGCCTGCACAACTTGAATGGCCCACCACTGCCTAGCTGATGAGCCATGAACTGTTTTGAGGGCTTTTCTCCATCTTTGGCTCTTTGCTACCATCTGCTGTTCGCTTAGGGGGAATGAGGAGCATTGAGAGAAAAACCTGGATTTCTTCCCAAGGCCGGCTTCACCTTTGGTCCTGAGCTTTCGGCTTAAGCCTTGAGAAGAGGGAGTGGATCTAGAGTGAGAAGTGGGAAAATTATCCATGTGTAAACCGAGGAAGCCAAGAGTTTGGGGCTTCCGATCTTTAGAAGACTATAGAAATGAATGGCTTAGGAGTTCTCACCCAAGACAAGACAGCTCTCCTAGACAGCTCCTGTTTTCCTGACAGGCAAGGTTTGGCTTGAGCACACAGTGCTTCTCCTGTGGATCGGGGTGGGTGGGTGGTGCTGAGTGGGAATCCTGCCTCTCCCTCATCCCTGCAGTCCTGAGATATCATAGTCCGCGATAACTCTCCTGTCCACACTGCTCTTTTCTTCTCCAGTTTCCTTTCACCCCAGCTCTTTGCCTTTGACCCTCTGGAACTGCATTTCTTTTGTTATTTTTGTTATTGTTTTTATTGTTACAGTCTCTTTTTTTTACACTTTAAATTGAATACCCACAAATTGTAATTGTATGTATGTATAGGGCAGAAAGTGATACTATGTGTATACCATGTACACTATATATGTACTATATGTAATGATGGAATCAAGCTAAACAACAAGCCAGATTTCTTATAAGCCACTCCTGCCTCCACCAGCAGCTCTTTCCAGAAAAGAACAGCTTTGCTTATCTTGCCCAAGGCTTCCGCTGCTGCAGGCTGCTCTTGCTGCCATGCCCACATGCCCAAGCTCCCCACTGTCTCTTCCAAAGCAGAATTTCATCTCCACCCTATGTGAAAATGCTTTTCTCCTCGCCATTCCCTCTGCTTCTTTCTTATCACCACGGTCACCAAACCTCTTGATCACTTCCCACACAATCCTGGGAGCCTTTGGCCCAAGAGCCTCAATGATTCCAGTGCAAGTTCAGTCTGCATCCTGAGACGAGTGAGGATTACTCACCCACCTCCAGTCTCTCAGGCTTTGGACTTCTTTTTAAAAGATCTATTTATTATTTATTTGGAAGGCAGAGTGGAGAGAGAGACAGAGAAAGAGAAAGAGAGAGAAAGAATGAATGAATGGGAATGAATGAGAATCTTCCACCTGCTGGTTCACTCCCCAGATGGCCATAACAGTCCGGGATGGGCCAGGCTAAAACCATGATTCTGGAATTCCATCTGGGTCTCCCTCGTGGGTGCGGGGGCCCAAGCACGTGGGCCATCTTCCACTGCTTTCCCAGGTGCATTAGCAGGGAGCTGGATAGGAAGCGGAGCAGCCAGGACTTGAACTGGAGCCCATATGGGACGCTGGCATTGCAGGCTTGCAGCTTAACCTGCTATGCCACACTGCCAGAACTTGGGCTTTTTAATTAGGGTGACTTCAACACCTCCTTCTGTTCACCCACCTGGACCTTATGGTCCCCCCAGATTCCTCTCTCTGAGACCATATGCTGTGATGTTACTTTCTTTGACTCAAATCTGCACTCCATTCAGCTTCCTCTCTTGCCAGTTTGGACCACCCTGGTCACTTTTTAGAACTTTCTTCTCATCAGCTCCTAACAATGTCTCAACCCATTGTCCCTTCCAAGCAGAACCCATGTCCAGTCTTTCTGAGTCTTGGCCTACTGAAGAAAGTCTCTCCAGTCATTCTGTGTAGGGCTACCAGAAGTTCACAGTCTTCATTATAATTATGCTCTCAGTACTGTTGTGCAATTATTTGACCTTTGATCAGCTCCTCTGCACATTGCCCTCGGAAGTCCTGTGCTAAGGCTTCCCCACCCTCCTAAAACGTCCTGTTCACTCTGTCCGAACATCTTGTCTCCTCTGCTCTCACGAGATTACCCTCTCCCCATGAAGGATTGCGAAAATAGAGGTCTTCAGGCGGGAAATCCCTCAGTACTTCTCTCCGCTTCTACAAGCTTCTCTAGTCACATCCATTCTTCCGATTCTCCCTCGCATCCAGAAGGAAGTGAGGAGCAGGATTCCCACTCAGCACCACCCACCCACCCCACACCACAGACGGAGACACTGTGCGCTCAAGGCAAACCTTGCTTGAGTAATCATACCTGTGACTATCGACACAGAAGTGGAGCCCTGTCTGAGTACCTGCTAGCACTCCCACCTGCTCCGGAATCGCATTCTATCAGTCCGTCAATTGTTTACCTGGATTTTCATGCCTTTCTTCACCATTGGCTTTTCAGCCCATGAAAATGACCCAGTCGTTCCCATTCTGAAAAGACTTTCTTCCAACCCCACTCTGCTCTGTCTTTCCTCTTCCTTTCATGGTTCAGCACCTTAAAAGAATAGTCAAAACATTATTTGTTCTTTGGTTATGACAATTTTTGCCTTATCCTTAGACCCATGTGTGTCATTACGTATATGATCTCTAGCCTTAACCCTATTGATTTTCTTTGCTGAACTTTATTGCTTTTTGAGAGAAACTTAAAATATTCATTAAATCGTGTCTTTGGTTTACTGTTTATCTATTTTAGTCCACTTTAATATATAACTCTTAAAAAAGACAAAAT